CTCTTGACCTAGTGCCTGAAAATTGATTTACCCTGTGGCATTAGCTGCCTCTCATGGCATGTCAGCTTTGCCTTAAAAAGCGGGAAGGATCAGACCAGGAGCAGTAGCAGTAGTAAAAGCACTGTCTATTACTCTTATCAAGGGGCAATAGGAAGAGGATCAAGACAGGAACCTGGAACTTTTTTAATGTAAGGTACTGTTTAAAGCTGCTACTTATAAAATTTCCATTAACTTTGCAAATGGAACAAACTAGTCCGAACCTTCCGTGATTTAATGTAGATCCCTCTTGAGATCTGTTGAAGAACTTGTGAAATATCAAGTACTTGCTGAAACAGCAAACAAAAATGCCTGTGAGGTTTGAGCAGTCACCCAGGAGCAGGACCCATGCAGTTCAGGCTGGCTTTGTGTCAGGATATTTTCATGTTTTCACCATGGATAAAAGGCAGCCCCTCTCTGACAGCTTAGAGCTGGCAAATCCCTGGCCCATGGCAGAGCATTGCTCTTTGTGAGACCTAACTTAGGTTCTAAGTGGACAATTTTCCATATGCAGTGCTCGCTATTTTACAAAACTGGTCCGGTGACCTAAGTAGTATCTTAACTTGTCCCTGAGCACAATGTTCATCATCATGGCTAGGCTTCGCGAACGAAGATTTGGGAAGGCTCTATCCACATTTGCTGCAGGCACGCTGGTGGCTTATGAGGCCAATACGTGACAGACAAATCCGATTGCAAAAGGCACAGCAGAAAGACTCCTTAGAGGTGATTCGGCAATACACGGGGCTTGTCTGCGTGGCCTTTTTGCTCGAAGGGTATACTGCGGTGTTTTTCAAAGGAGACCGCTGCGTTATAATGGTGTGTCTCTCAGGCCCCCGATTTGAGCAAGTTACCATTATGGTGATCAATATGGCCAAGGCTGAGAATGTTGTTTCAGGGAGTCCTTGTATGCTTTTCTTCGGGGCTATGCCTCTCTATGCGGCAGCCAGGGGCAAGTTCAAACACCGTGAAAGCAAATCGTGGAGGCGGTGGTCCTTCATCATGTAGACATGACCTGCCCAACGCAGCTGTGTTCTCATCAGCATGGCCTCGATACTTGTGACTGCTGCTTGCTCTAGAACAGATGTATTGGTCACATAGTCTGACCAGTGGATGTTTAGAATTGTACGGAGGCAGCGTTGATGGAAGCGTTCTAAGAGACGCAGGTGGTGGCGGTAGATGACCCATGATTCAGATCCATATAAGAGAGTAGACAACACCATGGCTTTGTAAACACTGATCTTGGTGCTTTTCTTCAAGGGTTTATTACGCCATACTCTTTTATGGAGTTTTCCAAAAGCACTATATGCCTTTGCTAATCTGTTGTCTATCTCTCCGTCAATCTTACCATCTGAGGAGATGAGGCTACCGAGGTAATTAAACTGTTGGACTGATTTGAGCTCTGATTGACCAATGGTGATGTGGGGATGATGGGGGACATCCTGAGGTGCAGGCTGATGGAGGACCTCTGTCTTCTTTAAGCTGACCTCCAGACCAAAGAGCTCAGCAGCATCTGCAAAGCAGGATGTTAAACGCTGCAGGGCTGCTTCTGTGTGGGCAACAAGGGAGGCGTCATCAGCATAAAGCAGCTCCCGGACAAGATGGTTTAAGGTCTTGGTGTGGGCCTTCAGTCGCCTTAGATTGAATAGACTTCCATCAGTACGGTAACGAATGTAGATACCGTCCTGATCATTGAGGTCTGCTGTGGCCCTTTGGAGCATCATGCTAAAGAAGACGGTGAATAGGGTAGGAGCGAGAACGCAGCCTTGTTTCACACCATTCTTAATTAAAAAGGGCTCAGAAAGTGCATTGCCATATCTGACTTGGCCATGCTGATCCTTATGGAGTGAGATAATCATTTTGAGGAATTTAGGGGGACAACCTAAACGTTCCAAAATCTGCCACAGACCTTTTCTGCTCACAGTGTCAAAAGCCTTGGTGAGGTCGACAAAGGTTACATAGAGACCTTTGTTCTGTTCCCTACACTTCTCTTGCAGTTGTCTGAGGACAAATACCATGTCTGTGGTGCTCCTGTTGGCTCTGAAACCACACTGACTTTCAGGAAGGATACTTTCTGCTATAGTGGGTATTAGTCTGTTCAAGAGTATTCTTGCCAGGATTTTGCCAGCAATGGAGAGCAGAGTAATACCACGATAGTTTGAGCAGTCAGATTTAATTCCTTTCTTCTTATACAAGGTGATGATGACTGCATCACGAAGGTCAGATGGTAGTTCGCCGAGTTCCCAACAGCGCACCACGAACTCATGGAATTTGGTGTGGAGTGCAGGGCCCCCATGTTTCCAGATTTCAGGTGGAATTCCATCAATCCCTGCTGCCTTGCCGATTTTCACCTGCTGTATGGCCTTGAGGGTTTCTCCTAAAGTGGGGGCAGTATCCAATTCATACTTTACTGGTTGTTGTGTGATGGACTGAATTGCCGAGTCTTGGACTGTGCGGTTGGTACTGAATAGAGTCTGAAAGTGTTCAGACCATCGATTCAGAATGGAGGTTTTATCTGTCAGAAGTGTTTGACCATCAGCGCTGAGTAGAGGGCTTTGTTCCTGGTATGTAGGCCCGTATGCTGTTTTCAAGGCCTCATAGAAACCTCTGTGATCACCTGAATCTGCGCATAATTGAGTTTTTTCAGCTAGATCAATCCACCATTTGTTCTGGATGTCACGGAGTTTCTGTTGGAGTTTGCTGCACGCAAGACGAAAGGCTGTTTTTCTTGCGTGACAGGATGGCAGTGCAAGGTGTGCTTGGTGGGCGGTTCTCTTCTTCCTCAACAAGTCTTGGATTTCTTGGTTGTTTTCGTCAAACCAATCCTTGTTCTTCTTGAGGGAGAACCCTAAGGATTCTTCGAAGGATTGCAGGATGCTGTTTTTAATATGATGCCAGATTGTTTCAGGAGAGGAATCTGCAGAAACTGTGGGAATGTTATCGA